TAGGTGGCAGAAAGTAAAATTGGCATTTGCTTCCATTGACATAAAGTTCTTTTTCTGACAAAGATCCATGGTGGTTTAGGTATTAATGGTATTATGCACACTTGGTATTGGGTAATCTTCAGTACTGGGGAAGCGGGCTGAATGTAAAGTATTGAGTTCTCCTCTTGCATTTATTTGTGAATTGGGAGTAATGCTGCCAACACCAGGCTCCTGTGTATGTGTAATAATCTCCTGATTTACATAAGATGGCTGCATTTAAGATGTTACCTAGTGCTTTTTCTTTCCTTGGGTCTCTTGCAACTTTCTTTTTGTTAAAACAATTCCTCCACACATGCTCCCTGAGCTGTGGTGCTGAAGCCAATGGAGATAGTGGTTCTGTGGTTGAACATGCAGTGTAATTTCTACCACATATTCACTAGACAGGTGTCCAACATGCCAGGATTTCTAAAAATGCATTACACAATTACAGGAAGTAAGTGATGAGAAAAAAATGGTGCCCATTGCTTCATCTTTCAGAACAGCAAGACAGATTTATGGGAGGGGAAGAAACAAAACTTCTAAGGAAAAGAGAGTGGGAACTAACTCAGAAAACAGCTCTGGGAGCCTGGAGGTTTATCTCCCTGAAATGGAGAGCTTTTCAAACCTCCTTTCAGGTTTTCTTTGTTCCTTTGTTTCTTGTTCCATACTGGCCTTGACTATGAGATCAATGGTTCGTACCTGAGACACATGGAGGCACAAATTCAACCTAGGAGGAGTTTGGGACGTTAGAGGACAGGCTGGTTTTCTGTCCAGGAGGTGTGGACACTCTTTCCTTACATCATGTTTTCAGTGCTTCGTTTTGAGGGATGTGTTTGTGTCAGCTTTTCAAGTCTGGGCTTCAAGAGCTGATGTGTAACCTTCTTAGAGCAAGCCCTAGGAGCTTTCAGGACAGCTACCTGATCCCATTGCATTGTCTTTTGTCATTTCCAAAGCACAGATTTTGTCATTCCACTCCATCTTGACCTTAGTAGGATGAGTTAGAGTCTGAGAATTGCCTTTTTCTTTTTTTTTTTTTTTGTTAAAGACTGCTTTCCATTAATTCTGCATTACCTTGCTTTTCTAAGTTTAAATCTTAAAGCCATACTTAAAGTCCCAAAGAAGATTTAGCCACACAATTGCCGTTTGACATGGGAAATTGAATGGCTATGCTCCTGCATATATGCAATAGCTTGTACACTGCTGGGTAAATTGTATAATTGTTCTTCATACATTAAGCAACCAATTGCCGATTTGTGTACATATGTAGGTTCATCCTTTACCAATTTCCTGTGACTGATAGTTTCCAGGAGATTAAAAGAATAGCCGGTTCCTGTTTTTTCTCTTCTCTTTATTTTTGTCCTTTAGCAAGAATATTTGTGTGTGTGTGTGTTTTTAATAGCATTCATTCCCTAGAGAATAATCTCAGTCCTTGTTTTAGCTGGCCTCCTTCTGAGAGTGTGTTAAATCTGTAGCCAAGATCAGAGGCAGCTCTGGGCAAATCATTGGGCTGTTATTAACCTGCCTCCATGGCAACTGCTGCTCGCCAGCCTGAGGACAAAAAATGTTTTTATTCTGCTGAGTTGCACAAAAGGTTCTAGTGATGCCTTGCACAAAATGGCCATTGAAAGGGGAGATGCAGTGATGTGTGTTTGTGCTGTACAGTTTCATATTTAAATCATTTTACACTGTTTTGTTGGAAGTGGGATATACAGCTGAGAAGTTCAGCGTGTTGGCCATATGGAAAGTAAAACTAGCAGAAAATTGGAACTAAACTTATTTTAATACTACTTATTTTTGTCAGCCTGAGTTCGCAGGCCTTCAGCCTGCAGTTGTCATCACTGCATTAGCAAGTTATTTTGTGAACATGAGCTAGGCAAACATCATCATGGGTTTTCAGTTGTACTGTATGAAGATACTTGCTGACTTGGGGTTACAGAGAGAGACCATAAAGCAGGTTTCCTGGAAAGCTTTCATTTTTTTCAGAAATCCTCCGATTTGTTTCAGTTCTTGTTTGGGAAGATTGGTAAGTGTATCTTAGTGCTTGATGAGCTTCAAATTTTAGCTGGTTTTGAAAGCTGCTCTTGGCAGTACTGTTTTAGGCTTGCTTTAAAACAAAATTATAAAACCGGCTATATTGCTCAGGCTGGGCATGGATTTAAGCTGCTCATAAGGAGTGTTCGCAGTGGGATCCGTGGGGGGTCTGGCAGCCCCAGCACTGTGGTGAGGTTGTGTCCCGCAGTTAGTTACCCTCTGGCAGGAGGCTGTGCAGCTCTGCTGTCAGTTTGGGTGCAGAATGAGTATGTATGGATGGGTGCTGCCTCTCGGAAACGTGCTGGTTTGGGATGCTTCCTGCACTCGCAGGTTGGCAGCGCGCTGTTTCCCTGCGCATTGAAGTCTCTCTGCTGCCTGCTTTAGTCTTGCCGTGAAGGTGAGTAGTTTCTGCGGTTCCACGTTCGGGCAGTTTTCTCTGTCTCATTCGAAGTAGCGTGGTTGCTTTAGACACCTCTTAGGGCGTACCTTGGCCGTGGTCTGCACTGGTAAAATGAAGGCCACCCAAATATTGTGATGGCTTTTTACTTGGGCTGTAGAGGAAGATGTAAAGAATATCTCCACAAAGATGCTATGTGCAGCTGCCAGTTGCTGGAAGGTGAGAGGGGGTTGGCTTGTGTTCTAGTGTCTGTGGATTAGTGGCAGATATTGTCATGTGTTCGGGTAAGAGATCTGACAAACTCCAGGGCGAATGTTCCGCCAGTGGCCTGGAGAGCCGGCTGGGCAGCGTGGGGTACTGGGAGGACAAGTGCCTGGTTCGGGGGTGTTAATCGTCAGTCCTGAGTACATGCCAATTTTTAGTTTTGTCAAGCAGGCTGCTCCCATTTTCTGAAACCAGCAGCTTTTCTTTTGGACCTTGTCAGTCCATTGGCTTTGCTTCCAGCTGTTTTTATGTCCTATCTTTGATGGGATCCTTCTGCGAAGCAATCTGTGGATCAGCGCGATTAGGTGATCAGCCTGCTCCACACCAAGCAATGATCTAGCGTTAAGTCACCTTCCCCTTCAGGAGTGCAGCCCGAAAGGCTGCTTGTTTTAGGTGGCTGTGACCGCATGTGTGTTGAGCGTTGCCTGCTGGATCAGAGCGTGGTTACTCTTGGATAATCCTTCACTGCAAATCCGGCACCAGGTGCAAGCGTTTCTTGGATTAACTCTCGGAGGTTTGGGCCCGACCCGGGAGCAGATGCTGCAGAGGCGAGCCAGCCTCACGTGTACAACTGCCATTGCGCCTGGTGTGCGGCTTGTGAGCTGCAGATTCCCCGAAGCAGAGGCTCGCTCTGCAAGGTCTGGTGTCTGAACTTGACTCCTGACCTCTGTGTTAAGACGAAAACCAGAGGTGATTTCCTCTGATAGCGTGAATTTGGGTTTTGTTTGCCCTGTCACTGCTAAGCTGCAGTGTTTGTTCCTTCGGCAGTGTTCTTGTCGTGAAGGTAGTTCCTACTGAGTAGACTCCAGCTGTGGGCTTGACTGTAAAAGCTTCCCAGGCTCGTTTCTGTACAATTAAATCTTGTCTGCAGTTAGCAAAGTGGCGTTTCATAAGTCATTTCAGTGGTGATAGCTGCTTAAGCCTGACTAGGACGCTTGCTAGTGACTCTCTAAAACAAGAGTTTCCCACTTACGAAATGGGAAAGGTTTCAATTATCAGATGCGTATTATTCCCCAGTGCTTCATGGAAGTGCCTGCTCTGCAACTCATTCATTAGCAGGAAAGGGAGGGGGATAAAAATAAACTTGCCTTGTGTGGCGGATGGAGACTTGCTGATCTTTGTGAGGAATTTTGGGGGTGCGAAGATGTGATGTGGTGTACGTACTTGCCAGCTGTCTCCCTGCCTTCAAACGCTTTGTCCACTTAGCACCTTCCTGTAGAAGCAGCGGGCTGTTCCTGCGACATCCAACGCTGGTCGCTCCATTAAGCGTTGTCTTAATGGCTTGTGTTTTGCACAGTTGTATGAAATGCACATTAATGGAGACAGCTTAATGCCATCACCCTGAAGTAATGAATTGGTATGGATTGCCATTACCATTATAGCGCAGTTAAAAGCTGTGTTTGTTGCCGATTTACATTTCCCAGCTCTGCAAGCAGATGGGTTTTCAGGCCACGCGGCGGGGAGGAACCTGGCAATTCAGCTGCAACCTCCTTATTACAGTGTTTGTAGAACAGCAGTTTGGGGGGGGTGTTTTGTTAACTCAGACTGCTTAAACAATACATTTCATTAAAACTGATTATGCTACTGCAGACTGTATTCAGGGATCACTGTAAATCCAGTGTATCCTATAAAACTGGAAATGTATTGTCCGTGTAGTACAGCTTCATCTCACTGCACTTGATCAAAATTGCTACTCTTTGGCCCCCATTCAGGTTTTCTGTTGTTAAACTATCTGTATCCCTATAATCTCATACGGATTTATACAAAAAGATACTCGGGAGCCATGGGAGAGCATAGGGTAGTTAAGTTTTGCAGACCTGAATGTGTCCCTCTTCCAATGAAAGTGCAAAGTATCTCTTACTTTTCCAAAAGGCTTCATTGTCTTGAGTATTTGCTTCTCTGGCTTCCTGAATGGTGCCCCTGTAGCTGGTGCTCCTGCCATTGAAACGTGGTTAGCTCTGTATGAGCAGCTGAATCACAATGAATCACTTCAGACAAGTGATTTTTTTTCTTTTTCCATTTCATAGGCTGTCTCATTGATCTCCTCTTGATCCTGTAAAGATAGGAGCACTCAGCCCACTTTCTGGGCTTTGAGTCCATACCAACAGATCCGTAGGTCACTGCTTTAGAGGGTGATGCTGTCTTGCACTACTTATAGATTTTTGCTTAGCATGTCAATGCCTGGGCATTTTAGTCCCTGTGGCTTTTACCAAGTGGAGGACAGATATTCTTTTCCTCATAATTTGCTTTTTGCTCATAACGTTTCTTTTGCTTTCTCTCTTCTGCTTAGGTTGCTTTGAATGTTGCATTAAGTGCCTAGGAGGAGTGCCATATGCTTCGCTTGTGGCAACCATTCTCTGCTTCTCGGGGGTAGCGTTGTTTTGTGGCTGTGGCCACGTGGCGCTCACGGGAACCGTGACTATCCTCGAGCAGCACTTCTCCACGACTGCCAGTGACCATGCTTTGCTGAGTGAAGTGTAAGTATGCCTCCGATTTCCATTAATCCTCGTAACACCCTCACGCTAAATGAGTAGAGGTGGATTAAAACCTCAGTCTCCATCCTTGAGTATTAGGTTGCTTGTTTGTCCAACAGCACTCGGTGGTTTTTTGGTGTTCACGCACAAAGAACCAGAGTGTGTATCCTGCTTAACCTGTTTATGTTGTGATACTGTTTAATATCTTCATCAGTGCCATAGACAGCAGGACCGAATGAACCCTCAGCAGGTTTGCGGATGACACCAAGCTGAGTGATGCAGTCAGTTCACTTGAGGGAAGGGACGTGACCCAGAGGGACCTTACAGCTTTGAGGAGTGGGCCCCTGCAAACCTCATGAGGTTCAATAAGGCCAAGCGCAAGGTCCTGCACCTGGGTCGGGGCAATCCCCAGTATCAATACAGGCTGGGGGATGAAGGGACTTGAGAGCAGCCCTGCCGAGAAGGACTTGGGGGTACTGGTGGGTGAAAAACTGGACATGAGCCGGCAATGTGTGCTCACAGCCCAGAAAGCCAACTGTATCCTGGGCTGCATCACAAGAAACGTGGCCAGCAGGTCGAGGGAGGCGATTCTGCCCATTTACTCTGTTCTGGTGAGACCCCACCTGCAGTTCTGCGTCCAGCTCTGGGGTCCTCAGCACAGGAGAGACAGGGACCTGTTGGAGCGGGTCCAGAGGAGGGACACAAAAACGATCAGAGGGCTGGAACACCTCTGCTATGGAGAAAGGCTGAGAGAGTTGGGGTTGTTCAGCCTGGAGAAAAGGGTCTGGGGAGACCTTACAGCAGCCTTCCAGTACCTAAAGGGGGCTTAAAAGAAAGGTCGAGAGAGACTTTTTACTGGGGCCTGTAGTGACAGGACAAGGGGCAACTGTTTTAATCTGAAAGAGGGTAGATTTAGTGTTTGTTGGTGACACAAAGTTTGAAGGATGACAGGAATAACAGGGAAGTGTTGTTCTTTCCATCCCCCCCTCAGAAGAAGGTGGACCGGTATAGTACAAACGGGGAAAAAAGAGAGAGAAAAGACTGGAAAGAGCTTGAATGTTTGTCCCTGCAACCGTAGCCTTTGGAAATAACCACCGGTGAAATATTTGGGGCTTTTGTGTTCTGGAGGCTTCTCCACAAAAACAGAGGAAGGCCTGGAGGCCTGCGTCAGGTCCCGGGCTCAGTGCCCAGCCGCACCGGCGTGAGCCTCGCGTTCCCCTTGACGCTGAGGGGCGCGCGGGTCCCAGGCTCTGTGCTGCTGGTCTGAGCGCGCTGGGCGTCACGCAGCCCCTCCAGCTGAACTGCCAGGCTTTGAAAAGGCTCGTGCCCGGCGGCAGCGAGGAATTTTGCGCGAGCTGTGATTCATGACGACGGCACAGCGCCGTCGGGATGCCGACTGGGTCTGGGTTCGGACTCTTGCCCGTCGCTCGGCCCCTGGAGACATCTCCATCCTGGGGGCGGCGTGAGGAAGGGCAGCCAAAACCCTCCCGTTTTTTCTTTGCTTTCCTCACCACCTCCCTTTACGGGCTTGCAGACAAAGACCTGCCAGTTCACGTGCGCAGCCATCCCCAGGGATTGCAGATGCCAGTCCTGCAGCCCCTTTTCAGGGCTTCTGCCCCTTTTCAGGGCTTCTGCCCCGTTTCGGGATCCTCTGTGCCCAGACCTGCCGCATGGCTGTGGGACTGGCCCCCACCAGGGTCCCCCACCCCAGGGCCGCCCACCATCGCACCCCGGCTGCGGCTCGGCACGGCGTCCCCAGCTCCAGCGCACGAGCCACGAGGACCCTGCAGCTAGCCACAGAATTTGGCGAGAAACTGCGAGCGGCTATTCTTCAGCAGCCGAGTAACAAAAAAACCCTGTTCTTCTGTCAGTCTTTGTTTGAGGAAAACAGAAGAAATTGCCAAAGCAGCTGTAACAAGCAGCAAGTTTTAAATTTTGGAGAATTGTTGACAACGTTTCTTGTCAAGTCAGCATCAGCAGCTGGGGAAACACATAATTCCTACCAAAGCAGCTGAGGTCTCGGACTCTGTGGAGGCCAAACAAGAAAGGCAAGGGAGAAGAGGTGCTAGAAAGGGGCAAAATAATTTAAGGCCACAGAGACATTAAATGAAAAATATGCTAGTAAGGCACCCTTTGGAACAGATTTTTTTTAACCGGGTTTCGTATTACTGATTTCTGGTAACATGCATTGAGTCTCTCCTAGGCTATTGATGATGATGAAATGAATTCTTCTATACTCTCTCAAATCATGACTTAATTTTCTTGTGCTTCACAGCACAGGTGCAACAGATTGATCCTGTTATTTTTAATCAGTTTGGAAAACAAACATAACACTTCCCACATCAAATTTTAAATGAGCAATATTGTATTTTGATACAAGGGACATGGTACTGTCTGGATAACATTTAACTGTATCGATGGTAGTCATCAATTTTCTTTAAATTAAGCTAGAACATGCAGATTCTCCCTAGCGATCTCTGCTAGCCGCTACTTAGTGGAGACTGGTAAGAATTGAAAAAAACATCTGAGGAAAAATATATTTATCCTTAGAAAACTGGCACTATGGATGTATAAAATTAACCTCTCTGTTCTGTGAGTAGCTTCATCCAAAATATCATCTCAACAATCAAACTAAGAAGGCATAATTTCTGGAGAAGTTGTGCTAATAACAAAGTATGACTTTTGGAGACCAGAAGAAGTATTGTATGGAAGATCTGGCATTCTGGTCTTCCAAAACAATTAGCTTCAGATACTGAATCTGATTGATAGTATTGAGAAATTATTCTTTCCATGTACCTATTCTAGCCAGAGTAAAAATACCATACAAGTGTCATTGCAGATGGTAGATTTTTAAGGAATCGAGAACTTTCTTAAATAATATCTGAGGGGAGTGCTTATACCGTGTGCCCTGAGATCATCTTCCTCTGGATGGTTCCATAGTACCTCAAATGAAAGCATTTCCTAAATATTTCTTTTATTTTTTAAAAATTGAATTACACTTTGGGGAGCTCAACACTGCCATGACTTAAGGCACTGAAACTACCTGCTCACTTGGAAGTACCATCCTAGGCTGCAGAGCAAACCGTTCCTCCTCAGGAGAAGTCACTGCACGTTTCCTGGGTTTTGTATCAGACAAGTATCACTGAATTTACAAACTTTTGCAAATGTACATTAACTGGATTTTACAGGTGGAAACAGTGAATTTCAGGTGCTGCTTCCTTTCCCAAAGCCAAAGGAATCACCACAGAGCCTGGTAGTTCAGCCAGTAGTTTAGCTCCAGCCTTTGCCATTTCAAAGCCCTGTGTTGCTCCTGTCAGACATTCCCTGAGTTAGGTGTCAGGATCCATAACAGGAAAAAAAGACTAAAAAATCTCCATAGTGGAGACATGAAATTGTGGCTTCAAGCTGGTGACTAATACCAGACAGAGTAAGAACTGCAGCACAAACGGGATGCTCGAGCAGATGCAAGACTAATGCACATCAGTATTGCTTAGCTGTAGAAGCGGGATAGTCGTACCGGTGCTCTCCTGCAGCCTGCTTGCTTAAAATGCATTAAGGAGCCTCGAACTGTATTTCTAGAAAAGGAGTTATCTCATACCTATTATGATTTGGGAGGACTGGCTTTGTTTTTATAGGGCTGAAATCTAATTATATCTTCTTTTCTTTTCCATTTTAGAATACAGCTAATGCAGTATGTAATTTATGGCATTGCATCATTTTTCTTCTTATATGGAATAATCCTTTTGGCAGAAGGTTTTTATACAACAAGTGCTGTGAAGGAGCTGCATGGAGAGTTCAAAACGACAGCCTGTGGCCGCTGCATCAGTGGAATGGTAAGTAGCATCAGAAATGGGAATAGTAGTCTGTGCTTGCTAAAACCTGTTGGGCTTGGTTAGACTCCTGTGTTTTTGAACAACAATATTTTGCTGCTGCCTTTGTTTAACTCCTTATGGGTGGTCAGAGTCAATCCCTGTTGCTGGTCTGTCTTTGATCTTCGAGGATGCTTGCTCAAATCCAAATTCTGCCGATGGACTGTTGGGGTGCTACCGTGGCCTCCCTCATCATAAAGCTGAACCCACTGGTCTGAACTAAGTTGATTGAGACTGCTAATTTTAAAACACGCAATGTGCAACAAAATGAAATTTGTGCTTTTAAACATGGAGCACACTAGTGATGCTTAAAGGCAGACTGTGAAATGGCTGTGCTTTGCAGAGCTATTTAAATAACAAACTGTAATGCCTCTGACTTCCATAGTCAGTTCTGCTTAAGGATGTCTGGAACCTTCAGACAAACAGTAATGAATGAAGCTTCACAACATCTTTGCACTTGAATCAAGTATTGCTGTCTTGGGTTTGCAGATGGCAAAAGGCATACAGATATAATAGTGAGTCTTTTTAGCAAAGCTGAAACACTTAAAGCTTTAAAGTCACAAGCCATCTTCCCTTCAGTGTACTTCTGTATTAGAAAAAATTTTAAACAAAGTTTAACTAAAAATAAAACTTCAGATTCTCACCCACGTTGCCCCCTAGGGCGCGCTCTGCAAGAACAGAAACAACTATGTTTCTGAGACAGGATTTCAAAACTATTTCTGAAAATCTGAATTCAAAGCTCATAGTTATGGAGGAAGCCAAGCAGTATGACAGATCGCCCACGGGAAAGTGTGGGTGAAAAGAGAAGAGGCTTTTGATGTGATTGTTGCATTTTAATATACAATCTATATCCTGTACTCAAAAAATATGTACTTTCAGCTGGTTAAATACCAGAGATGCATGTTTATTTTCAAGAGGATTAACAATTTTCCACTGTGTTGTTGGATACTTACTGAATTTTTGAAGAGCTAATAAAAATAAGACGTCCGATCATTTTCCAGTTAAGCAGCTATTCGCTTCCTCTTTTCTAGCAAGTATGATCTTCAGTGAGGAGCAAAATTAGATCCAAAGCAGTGTTTTCCAAAGATCCAAAATACAGTAGAAACATACACATACGTGCATTTCTTCAGTGCAGACAATTGCTTGTGCAGTTGAGTAGTTGCAGGCACATGATTGTCAGTTGCTTATACAAATACCAGTGTGACACATGGAAATAAGACAGAAAAATGTGTTTTCATGTTTGCCCATATTTGTCCACACAATGAAGGAGAGAATTTAGCAGCTGAGTAATGGCTTGGAGCTCTGGTAAGATGCATCAGTATTCACTGGTGACAGTCCTGGCGTAAATGCCTGTATGCTGCTGTGCAGTGGTAGAGCTGCTTAAAACATCAGGGTTGGAATAAGGTTTGTGAGGTGATATACCTTAGCAGACTGGTGGATGCAGCTGGGTTTTGGACAACAAGTTTTTGGATATACGGTGATTTTTTTTTTTTTTTTTTCCTCTTTGATTAAGAGCTCCTCTACTTCTTCCTCCATTACATTACCAAGCAAGGTCCTGAAAGGCAGTCCCTTCCATCTTGCATAAGGTTATTAGAGAGGACAGACTCCCAACTTTTCCTGAATTATTTCTGTGGGCTGTGGTGATGCAGAATAGCCATTTCCCACAGTTACCGCATTAAATGAGAACGAGTGTGTTTTTTCCTGGCTATTTTAGGAGTTAAAGGCTTTGTGTACTTCCTCTCTTGCACACTTCCACATACACATATGCAAACCCACATTTTATGTATAGTCTGTCTATAGAAATCCTTTACACTGGTCCACTTGGTCCTTACCAAAATCCAAAGAGAGAATTCTCAATTCTCGCATAAAACATACAGGTCTGGTGTATGGCACTATCTAATATGAAATAGGGTATTTCAGTTCAGTTGTGTATAAATTAAATGCTAGCTGGGTTTTTCATGGGCCTTAGTTCTGCAAGCACTCCCACCTCCCCACACGTACAACCTTTGTTGACTGTAAAACCTAACCAGTGGCTCAGCCTTTGCTGTAAAGTTTGCGGAGTTGCTCAGCACGTCTGGACAAAAACCTACGAGGGTGCAAACTTCCACCGCTGCAGTGTTAGTTCAGTCCATCAGTTCTGGGTCAGGCTGAGACAACCTGCCCTCCCAGAGCCTTTCCCACCCTTGCTGTTCTTTGGCACACAAGTTTCAAGTGAGAGAGTACGGCATCGGTGCTTTACTGGAAGTAAAGCCTTTCCAGGCCACCGACAGTTAAATAACGGTGAAAAGGGAACACACAAGATGTAACAGCATTCCCCCGCTTTCCAAGTAGGATCCAAATCCTGGTCTCCCCAGGAGGAGGGAGCTAGGACTGATGCCAGAGCTACTGTTTCACCATAAAACCTAGAAGAAGAGAGAAAAGGGAAAGAGGTCCAGTGGGAGGGGGAAGCTGGAGATTTCCAAAGCAATGAGCACCATACCTTATAATCTCATCAAAGAAAACACTTTTTTTTTTTTTTTTTTTTTTTTTTAAAGAGCAAACCCAAACCAGCAAATTTCAATGGAAAATCCATGATTCTCTCAAGTGAAGTAACTAATTTTCTTCTTGGCAATGTGTGTTAGATTAATCGAATCTTTCTGATGTGCTGTAATGGTTGTGGTATGTTTTCAAAAACAGGTATTCTGAAATGTTACATTCAAAATTGATTTCAATAAATCAGGGAGTATGGGAGAGCTCTGTGAACATTGATTCACTCTATTGTTTTGATTTGCAAGTCACATAGAAATGCTAGTATGTTACAGTTAATTAAAAAAAGTCCTTAAATTGATTTTTATTGGAATTTTATTGCTTTTAGCTTACAACCAGCTTTTAGCTTACAACCCTGCTTAGTGAGAATCTTGAGAAATTAATGGACTGTTCTTTCAGGAGGTCAAGCTGTTTACTCAAGCAGGCTGCTGAAAAAGGAAATGTCTGAATTATTTTCTCAGTAGCACTTAAACTACCAAAGTATTCATAAGCAATGAGAATACTGATTTTATTTGTGCTTGGAAATCAAATGTTTTATTACTTGATTTCTTGAAAATATGCTTAAAGATTATTTTGAAGTATTTTTAAGGAAAATTGAAGTATTCTTCTCAAAGAATAAACCTCAAGTGCGTGTGTTTTCTCTGTCCAGTTTGTTTTCCTCACCTATGTGCTTGGAGTGGCCTGGCTTGGGGTCTTTGGCTTCTCTGCTGTGCCTGTCTTTATGTTCTATAACATATGGTCAACTTGCGAAGTCATCAAATCTCTTCAGACAAATGTGACAGTTCCAGGGGACCAGATCTGCGTGGATATCAGGCAATACGGTACTCATTTTAATCCTAATTAAATGCTTTATCCTTTCTCCTTGGTCTGTCTTCAGTAGTTGTGTCTCAGCCTTATCAAATGAACCAAATGCAAAAGTATCTTGTGTCTCTGAATGTGCTATTACTTTTCTAATTAATTCAGATTACACTGATCTCTTTCCAGATGCAATCAATTTAACTGAACTGGCAAGTCATTTATCTAAAATGATTTTGTAGTGGTTTCCAGTACTATAATATTAGATTTAAAAATAGATCAGCCTCAAAATAAACTGCTTAGAAACAGGGCTGAGAAATAGATAACCAGATTCTGGTTTTTGAACCCATATGCATATATTCTTTCCTTTCAAGAAGCTGTTTTTACATTTAAATATGAAGTTGACACCCAAACTTTGCTCTAACAATTACTTTCAGTTAAAAGACCAAAAACCTGCATTCAAGCGTCTCCCTTAACTGTTAATTAATTAATACTGCTTTCTGATGACACACAGAAATCCAAGGGGGGTGCAGGTAGCAGAGGAGTGGGACAATGCCTTAAAATAGGGTCAGGCTTTTCATTCCTTCAGGTGGATTTTCCTGAAGTTTATCTTTTCAGCTTCCCTTGTGCAGAAGAGCTTTTGTCACCATTACTTCTGGCTTCATTTTAGCTAGCATTTTCTAGTAATGTTTCTTTCTTTGGACTAAGTCGTTCAAAGCTGAAAAAACAAATTCAGAATTGAAAAAGTAAGAAAGCTTGGTTTTGCTTTCCTTATCTGGGCCATAAATCCAGTAGAAGATAAGATACACTAATTTTAAAAGCAGAAAGTCCCAAATCAGTTAAATGTTTGCATCCTATTTTAGCAACTGACAGCAAGAGGCTGGGAAGACGTTTTCTTCAGCAGCAAAGTTTAGGAGTGCAGGGAGAAGATGCGGTCCTCCACCTTTCTGCTTCTCCTGGTTGTTTTGCAGCTGTACGAGTGTAGGGCTGTGCTGTTCCTCTGATCAGTAAAATCTTTTGGGTTTCAATGAGTGATGGGAGAGAGCAGCTCCTTAACAGGCAATTTGCGTCACTGAACTGTCCTCACATTTTTGGGTGGAAGCAGTACCTAAAAAGCTTCAAGTGTGTATTGCAGTTGCAGAGAAGAAGCTGGCTTTAAAGTAAATCCTAAGAAATCTTTTTGCAAACCATACCATCCCGAGATAATTTCAATGACCTGCCCTTTACAGAGTTGCTAAATCCAACCAGCTGAGTTTGAAATGCGAGTAGTATGGAGGAGACAAACTGGTTTTCTCGTTTCAAATGGCTTTTGCTTAAGCTTTACATCTGTTACAGGCCTGAAAGTTGAGGTTATTTTAAACTTTCTAGGTCCTGTCGACTTTTTCAGATTTTTCAATCGTGTAAGAAAAGTAATTGGGAGTACCTGAGGTACGGCAGACCAAGTTTTCTTGTAGCAGTGTTCACTTAATGCTTTTGTACCTATTGGAACTAGAACAGAATAAGTCCTTCTGTAATTCTTCCCTCTAGCTCCATATTCACACTCTTCTACAGTAGTTACTTGTTCAAGTAGAACTTAATCTCGTAAGTGCTATCCTGAAAGGTGCCAAGTACCTCCGAGATGCAGATTATCCCTTTCAGTGCTGAGTGGGGGAGTAGGCAGTATGTGACTGGACCTGAAGTGCAAAAACCCAACCAACCATTTGGCTGCCATATGGGAAAACCACATCTGAGAACATGCCTTGGCAGCAAGCCTCGGTATGAGGAGAAAGCACAACTCGAGCGAGTTGTTTTAATTCCTTCCACCAACTCAAAGCTGTACTGGTCAACGCGTGGATGCCAGAACGGGAACGCAACTGGCAAGTGGGCAGAAAAGATGAGAGGGGAACAGAAAGCATGTGTTGATTGCTAAAATTAGTGGTTTCTTTTGCTGTGGTATTTCAGGTATTATCCCTTGGAATGCTGTACCTGGCAAAGCCTGTGGTCCGATTTTAGAGAACATCTGCAACACGAATGAGGTACAGACACGTAACCTGTGTGCAGCTTTTGCCTACAAGTCGCTTGGGCACCATGTAATAAATAACTTGATGAAAGTTTTTAAAGAAAGTCAATACTAGTAGTATAAAGAGATTGATTTAAACCCAACACTGAAATTGTGTTAGGTCACCCAGAAAATGGAAGTTACTTCAGAACGTTTTTATGTTCTGAAGCTTTGAATACCTTGCTACAAAGTTGGTTTTACTATCCTTATTCTCTAGAACAGTTGAAATGCATCTTATATTATCCTCAATTGCCTCAATGTTTTTAACTTGTTTTTTCTTTAGTTCTACATGTCTTACCACCTGTTCATTGTGGCTTGTGCTGGAGCTGGTGCCACTGTCATAGCATTGGTGGGTAGCATTTTTTGTTGTTTTATTGTACAACATGTTCCTTTCAGGCTTAAGATGCTTTAAGATTAAATTTTGTGTATCTTAAAAATAGTGATAGTAGACATTAAGGAGGGCAAGCTGTAATCACCATTATTTGCTGCTATGGTTTGGTCATTACAAGTCAGCAGGTCCCGAACTTTTGCTTTAAGAAGTCATCTTAACCCACCTCCTCTATCTTTAGAAAAAAATTCTTTGCATGTCCTTTGAAAATCCTACTTCTACCCACTATTTCTGTTTTTATGTCCACTACTTCTTTTCATTTTTGTAGTTTATTTGATCAATGGCTTGTAGCCTCTTGTTTTTTTTTGTCTGGACCCAGGCCGTTAGACTAGTCCAACTCTGCAATGCCAATTACAGGTAGCAGTTGGAAAAAGGGATGTTAACAAGATGACTTGTTTCATATGTCTTAACGCTTCCTCTAGCTGCCAGCTTCTAACTTCATGTCAGCCAAATCCAAGTGTAACAGTCACTATTTGTTGACGAAATAGCCTTAAGTCTGTATGTAGATTACCTCTCCAGATAAATGGCAAGTTATTTACCTTGCATCTTCACCCTGGAAGAAGCTCAGAATAACGTCTGTTGTAAAAGTATCGACAGTTGCCCAAATGGGCTTGAGCCGTCACCTTGTTGTATCTTACTGTCCTGTATTTTGTTCTCTTCCACCAGCTGATCTACATGATGGCTACTACATATAACTATGCTGTTTTGAAGTTTAAGAGTCGGGAAGATTGCTGCACTAAATTCTAAATTGTATAAGCCCAGTAAAGAGCTGCATTGCGTAGCTTGAAATACCACTGACACCCTAGGCTAAAAGTCTAGCTTTCTGAATTTTGTTACAGTAATTGTAAATAGCTTCAGTAAGCATCATTTACCTTATCAGATTAATAAAATGACTTCGTGTATATGAATTATGATGTGGATGAGATCTGGCTATTTTTTCATGTCGAGAGGATTCAGTTACTGTAGGGGTATTTGTAAAGGATCCTTCTGAAGATGGGGTGTTTCCATTTGAAGTCTCCATTTGCTTTCTAATAGTCATCTCTAAAACAAATACTGGAACAGTTCAGGGTCAGAATTACTAATTTATTCTTCATCCTGAACACCAAATACAACCACCACCCCCACCACCCCCCCCGAGTACAAAATATATATATGATACAAAAGAAAAGGAATAGTGAAGTAGTGCCAGTCTCTTTCAGCAGAAATCAGAAGCCCAGGTATTATGAATTACTTGGCTTGTATTTCCAGTGCACTGATGATAAAGTTGATTATTTTATTTTACTTCATTTTTACACAATTGCCAAATCACGCTCTCTCTGGAAGGAAATATATCCTTGTATTAGCTCTGCGTAAAACAATCACATTCATTCTTTTGGACCCTGAACTAGTAAGAAACAGCGTATAAACAGTTTCTGTTCTTGTATGGCTTGCACTTTAGTAACTGATTTCTCAGTAGCCAGATCTCAAAACTGTAAGTATGACTGCACGGGAAGCAAAACCATGCATAGATCCTAGAGACCTTTTTACACTGTTGGGATTAAAAACAAAGAGAAGTGAATCAGTGTTTTCAGATGTAGATTTTTTTTGCAAGAAGTATGGTGAAAAGAAGTTGGGAAGATATGAATGCACAAACTAGAAAAAATCCACATAATAATAATAATAATAAAAATGAGCAAGTTGCTACATATGATACAAAACTCTTCACCTGAGGTTGGACAATGGAAGTTTAAAATGTAGTTATAAAAATATACTTCTTAACCCAGAGATTGCATGCTTTTGCTTAGTTTTGGACTCATGTTTTGCTGTTTAATTTTTCAATATGTTAATGTAGTCTTGTTCACGTAAATAAAACTGTTTACAGTTTCAGGTTTTTTGGGGGTGGGGGGTGGGGTGGAATTCTCATCTGCTTGTTGGGGGAAAAGACTTACCAGGACCTGGGCTTGGATATGCATAAACACCACAACCGGTTCTTCTGAGCACCTCGTAGTTTACAATTATGTATATCGCCATGTACAAAACTTTTTTCCTGCTTCCCCCCATTCTGCATTTTAATTGATCCGTACAACTCTGTAGCTCATTTTATTACTGTTATACTAACTTTCTCTAAATTGTGAATAACCGACTGAAGTATTAGCATGCCAAATTCTAGAGATCTTTGAAAATAGCCTCTGTGCTTGTTTTAATAACAGAATGCTTATTAACGTAGAATAACTTTTTTTTTGGTCGTTATTTTAAAGAGTGTCTATTAATCTAACTAGCAGCTTGCTTTGCCTCTTGACATGCTCACTAGCCATCATGCTCACCCTTCTCTTCCAGATCCACTTCCTCATGATACTGTCTTCTAACTGGGCCTACTTAAAGGATGCAAGCAAAATGCAGGCCTACCAAGATATCAAAGCAAAAGAAGAGCAGGAGCTTCAGGATATCCAGTCTCGGTCAAAAGAGCAACTCAATTCTTACACATAAATGTATGCCACAGTAATTCAGCAGAAGAATTCTGTAGCTCTGACAAATCAACAAATAGCTGCTCTGCAGTACAGATGTGTGTCTACCAAACAAAATTAGAGAGAAGTGAAAAGCTTCATGTTCCAGCTCCTGGAACGCTTTCACAGGGAAATCTTCCCAAGGGTAATCTTCCATCCTTTCATAGAGAGAATGGAGGGTTTATTCCAGGCATTTTAAAAGGCAACACTTCACAATAAGTGACCAAATTATTCCTCTTTGAGACTTTTGGTATTTAGTATTTGACATGTTCTACAGCATGACGTCCTGCACAAAACCGTGGCAGGTGCTCCAAACCAGCAGGCAGTAGATCTCTGCACGTGATTTAGTATCTCCGTTTATATACCAATGAAACTGTGGCCGGATTTCTGACAGCTCGTGCTTACGTGACAGCACAGTTGCAGCAGTTTGAAGTTGCAACGGGGCTGTCTTTGAACACTATTTACACGGGCCACAGGAACAGCACTCTGCTTTTGTGCCACACTTTTTTATGATGAAGCAGTCACACTCCTGTGCTTACCTGAGTGCTGAGCAGAAGTCCTGAGTTTTAATCTTTTTATTAACTATTTAATGGAATGTAGATCCCTGGATCTGGATAATGATCCCCTTCTTTGAAAATAAATGTCAGCTTTGCCTTAATATTTATTTTCTATAAATGTCTTAGCATTTATATAGTGGCAGGAGACCATTATCCTACATTTTAAGTAAGTGAAAAGTGTTACCTTATTAAAATGACACTGATCTGACTATTCCAAATGAGCGGATGAGAAAGTTTGCAGAGTTTTACACAAACAATAAAAATTACAGCCATAAAACAGAATACAGGATGTCCACCTTTCTCTATCTTGGTGCTTAGCAAATTTATAGTCAGTGCTTATGTGTATTCCTTTTTACAAATTAATTAGCACATGAAGAAAACGTGGTGTTCAGAAAAAAACAACAACAAACTGGTGCCATTTTAAAAGTCATTTCCCATAGAAGTCTGCCTTCTAATTAATGTTTTTTTCAGAAGCATTCAGTGATATCTTGAGTATTAGTGATGGTATATTTGGTGTTTGTTCTATATGATATATATATATATAAATAAATGTTGGGGGGGGAAAGTAAAATGCATCAGTCATTTAAAAAAATTAAATATTTAAGTCATACCCATGTTAAGCTGACGTGTGGTTTGATAGTTTTGACTGTTTGCTGAATATAAATCAAAGGAAGCACAAATTTCTTCAAGTCAGTATTAAGAGAAAAGGCATTTTGGGGGGTATTAATTTCAAATATAATTTTTTTGTTAAATATTGGAGTCTAATTTGACAGTTTCAAAAAAGGGGCAAAGTTGATCAATGTAGAGCAAATATGACAAAATAGCCTAGTGTATGTTCCTACCTGTTGCATGAAGGAGACATTTCTACAGCAATGCAGGTGATGTTCTAGCCCAGTGTTTGCATAAGGGTAATAATGGAGGCAGTGTCTTAAAGCCTAATTCTTTTCTAATTCAGTGTAGCTATTACTGGGAGTTTTTGAAGTTTTGTTTAAGTAGTCTAATATTTTTATGTAAAGAGCATTAAATTTTGCTATGTATAAATTTTTGTAACCTAACAGTGAATCAATATTTTCTATCAGTGCCAAGGGCTTCCTGTAGTTACATCCAAGTGTTAAAATAAATATTTGTAGATAATAGACACCACTTGTGTACGCTTATTTGAAAACAGACCTTCAGCTACTCCATACTAGTGCATCTCTCTGCTTCATGTCTCTCTCTGAAGTTACACACGTTTTTGTTCCGTAGTATCAATCCACTTGCTCCTGTGCGGGGCAGGGATGCCCTGTAGGTGCACACGTCAGCACGGTAAGTCAGCGAGTGCTTCTAGTGTGAAGTATTGGTAGTTGTTCCAGGCCAGCATAATGGAACAAGTGCTGTCCGTCCCATTCTGGACATCAACCACCAAACTGTAAATCGAGTGTTGCTGCAAGACCAAATTAAGCAGCGTGTAAAATTAGACTAGCCACCAAATCACATTTTAGCTTAATTCCTAAAGGAAAGTTTGTATCTGTCACGTTTTTGGTACATCGTGTTTCAACATCCAGTGAATTCAAGATAGAGCTTTGGGTTTTGCCCCTAAATTCTGTCAAACTTGGCTTCATGTTCTTGTAGTGAGGTCAAGATGAGCAGCCTCCAATGTGGTGCAAGTTGTAATATATGCTGCCACCTAAAATTACTTCATTGATTAAAAAAATACTGTATTTTATACTGTAAATAAAGTTTAATGATCTTGCCTATAACCTACCTACAAAATACAAAGCTTAAATAAAGATGAGTTAAATAGCATTTTTATTTGAATCTCTCCGTTCTGGGCTGGTTAATGCCAACAAGGTGATACATGAGCTAAGGCTGCTTTTGAAAGTGTTTGCTTCCCCTGCCGTAGCAGTAAAAGGAACAAGTCAGCTTGGGTCTGTCACACGCCGCTCTCTGAAGCTGTGCAAGCCAAGGCTCTCCCCGGGACACCTTTAAAAACCTGTGATGATGACTGAATTTTTTGTTACCTGCCCATGGTTACTTTAATCTACAGGTTCTAACAGTTGGAGGGGAAAGGTTTGGGGCGTGGGGAGCACCACTTGAAAAGCTGTCCAAGTTTATAGGAATTCAGTGCCAAAGCCAACTTACCTGAACATACGGATTAATTTCTTTGCACTTTGTCCTTTCTCTCACCCCACTCAAGGGCCTCCTGGATTAACACCACATCAGGGCTTGCTATTTGAAGTCAATGACTGAAGTGCTGAGACAACTCAAGATCAGCTTTATTAATTTATAATTATATAGCCTGCAATCTTGGTGCCTAACATTTATTACAACTTTTTACAGGCAGAAAGCTGCTTTAAAAACTTTTTTTTGTAAAAAATAATACTAGTAAAACTCAGTACTGTTGTTCACCAGAAGCTTTCATCCATGTCTCCATGAGAAATGCCTGCAGTGCTGTATTAAGGATAGGAGGGAAAAGAAAGTGGTATGAGCCCAAAGTAGTTTCTTATCTTAAATAAAAATACTTGTTTTTAAAAGAAAGTTAAGAGACTGCCCACACTGCAATTCTCTTGCTGTTTCAGTGAACTGAAGGAAATCAGCAAGCCTTTACAGATGAGGATTTGGGCCTTCATGAACAGAAAGCCATCTCAAATCTATCAAAAAGTGGTACTATCATCTATCCAGTACTGTTGTAGTGCTTACCCAGTGAAAAAGAGCACTATACAGATGCCAATTCATGAGCGCAAGGGTAGGGTCTGGTAGGTAAAACAGCACTTTAGAGGCCCCGGTAATACTGAATCATTACTATGGTTACAGTAAGCAATTTATAATTTTTTTCTTTAACTGCTCCATTTTTTTTGCTTATATATATTTTCATTTCTACAGCTTCCAATATTGATAGACGTTTTTTTTTTTTTTTTCTCTCAAGTAACTAAAAACTACGTATCTGTATTTATCCCTGTCTAGAGAGAAGCAGGGGAAATGCCCTGGCTGTGGTAACCTCTGAAAAAAGTGTGTGAACTAGTTTGTTAGAAGTCCATGATGCTACTGATCAATCAAAGCTAGATTCCATGCTAATAACAGACTATCTGCAAGGTGCAGCGCAGACAAACTTTCACAGGGTCATTAGCCAAGAAGAACCCCTCATACTTCAGCCCACTGTGAAGGAACTGATGCTACTCAGTTGCAGATAAAAAGTTCTAATTGCCACAGCTATTGAAACAGATCCTTGAACGTAATTCCCAGATCCGAATTCCATACAGTCCATAAAGTTACCTGTATAAGAACTGGAAGGAACCTCAATTTTTCCAACACATTTGCTTTTGATGACTAGTGTATTTTGCTTTTTAAGGAGGCAGATGTCTCTCAACCACTTTCAAACTGTAACTATTAATATGTTGTAACAGAAGTGATTAACAGTCATATATGAGCCTTACCTGTCATCCTTTTCACTAGATACAAGTCCCTCTGTAAGTGATACTTCTCCTATTTCTTCTTTTTTTGAATCCTGGCAACCAAGAGGAGAATACATTTTCTGTAACTGGTTCTTAAGTCAAGGTTTAAGTGACTCTAATAATAGTGTCTGCATTTTATGGCACCCAACTGAAAATAAAAATCTTCTGAAGGAGCCACCCTATTTCTACAAGTGCTACACTGCATCTAGAATAACGATGCTTTGGAAGATCGGGTTTGGATAACGTCTGAACAAAAGTATGCTGCTGCATTCCTTCATCGAAGTAATGTTCACCCATGTACATAGCTGTTCAGGTCAAGTTTTCCATTTTGCCAGGATAAATTCTATCAATCATCAGTTGTGTTAGTGGAACACAAACTGACCTATGCAGAGTTTCAAACTGTATTTAAACACAGTTTAAACTAAAAATTGAGGACATTTAAATTTAAATTCTGTCCCAATACCTAAAAAAGCAACAAACCAACCAACCCCCTCCCACAGAATACCAGAACAAAACCCTTATGGAAGAAAGTTTTCAGGTTTTTTTTCTTTTGAATCAACACATTTTTGCAATACAAATCCAAACACTCATTTCTGCAGATTGTTACATAAAGCTTCTAAGCATACTTAGCAAGACACAAATTCAATATTTTTGGGACCCTGTTTTGAGAATAATCATCACCTTGGTTGCCAGTTCCTCCTCTCTGTGCTGTTGAATTATTCTCATGTATTTTTCTAATGGATTTGGAGTAGGAACCTTTACATTATCTTCAGCATCAGCATTACTGTCTTCAGGTTTTACTCCCTCATCTTCATCTATTTTCATTGAGTCTTGGATCTGCTTTAAGACACAAAATCAAAATTAAATACCAATCAGCTCAAGAAAAATACCTGAATACCTGCACTACACACAGGATTTCATGTTAACCTCAGTAAAACATGCCAGTCTAAACAGCATTAAACTTGTTACATGCAGTTCAAGATCAAATGTTAAACTATTGCTTCAATTCAAAAAGTTAACATTCAAGAAATCCCACTCTAACCCTGTCTGGATGTCTGAGAGGCCTGAGGCTTCTATGTATGACATCAACACGTGAACTGAAGATGAGCTGACGCAGGTATGCAAGTTTCTGGAAGGGCCTAGTTTGCTGGTGTGAAGGGTAGCATGAGCATGTCTGATCAGTACCACTACACTGCATCAAATAAATAAACCGAGATTTAAGGGTTGGAAGAGGAAGACAAAATGGGAGGGAGCAAAAAAGTTTTACACAGGTTCTAGAAGTCCAGAACACTACTTCAACACGTGCCGCATCAGCTCAAAGGGATTTAAGCAAACTCCTTAAGGTCTCCTTATAACTTCTCTTTCCAAGAAAGTACCCTAGATACCCCGATACAGGCTAAAGAACAGATGGACATGAACACGTTCTGGTGTTGTTTGACCAGCAGCAGTCCAGACCAGAAAGACAGCGAATGTATCGCTTGTTCCAATAGCCTCGTGACAGCTCAGCTGCCTTCTAAGTTCTGGCCATGAAACTGTAGCTTCCAGTTACATGAAGCATGGAAGAAAAAGCATCTGTTTCCTGTGAAGAAGTTACTTGGCATATGGAGAAATTCTAGCAAGACTCTGGTTAATTGCACAAGTACATAAAAGAACTTAGCCTCTACTACTTCCACTTAAAGAATAAAAGCTATTTTTAACCAAGTAACACACACAGCAATCCTAAAATAAATGGCACTACAAAGCTGCATTACTGTCAGATACTTAAACACTACATCACCACCTCTTTGTTAAGCTTTTCCACTTCTGTTTGCTCTCTTTCCAAAGTTTCCTGTTGTTCTTTCTCTCTCCTTTCTTCTCTTACTTTCATTTCTTCTAAGTTTTTCTCAACTTCTCTATTCTGTTCTTCAATCTGTCTTTGATCCAGCACCGCTGTGAAAAATTATTTCAACATCTGTGATTTGAATTACGTAGTTCAGTACTCTACTACAGTAGCATACAAATAAGTAACAGGTTCATGTATAACATTAATAATAAATGAAAAACAACTGGATATATTGTTTATACATATACTAAAGTTATTCTTAGGTATCTGGTAATGTTTCTTCCCACCTCTAAACATTTTTAGTCTGGTACATGACTCACTAGTGTTAAAAGGTAGAGCCAAAGTAGAGGCCAGAGAGTTGACAAACCTCTCTATGCACTTCTCATTCCTACCATGGACTTTCTTATTAAATCTCTGTTATCCTAAAGTTCATGTTGCTATATTCTTTCCCTCTCTGCAATATGGGTGGATACAATTCTTTGTATCTATAAAGCAAAGTACTTAAAAAACCTTTGGAAATTATTGCAGGACATACTGCTGATGTGACCAGTGTATATAAAAAGCTATGTAAGGAGAACAGTATTCAGATAGTAATTAGACGGGCAAACTATATACTGGGAATTGTTAGAAGCTAGAAAGCTCTTCTCTAAATAAAAATGATCATAATGCTTCTATCTAGAACAATTTAAAAAGCAGCATATGGTGCACTGAAACCATCCTCATCTACGCAAAGAATTAAAACAGCATTGTGATAATACAGTTTGCAAACAGAGTCAAGAAAAATGAAAAAAATCTAGACAAAGAGTACCTAAAATACTTTAAAAAAAAACCAAAAAAACCCCACAACAAGCAAACCAACAAACCAAAACCCTTCAAGTCTTATTTCTATCAAGAGCAGAAATAATATTTAATAATTATCCTAAAAAGAAAAGAAAAAACCAAAACCATCTCTCCAGAAGCTGGACAGGGGAGTGGGACAGGTAGCAAAAGTGTTTAAATTAAAAACAAATTTAACCAAAACCAGGGTGCAAAAGTCATCCTCATACAGTAAAGAAAACATTCCTTCCTCTTTATTACATAATTAGCCCTTTGGGAAAAATTTTTCAATCACACCAGCATACATACCTAAAGAATGTTAAATAATTGGCTTTTTGTTTTATACATTTGACATTAAGAAGGGTATTCACTTTTGTTTCTGAGCTGAGAACTCACTTAAGTCCTGCAGTGAAGTGGCTGTTGCGGGCACAGTGGCTGTGACATGGTTTCCATTGACGATGTCCCCAGATGGATGCAAGGCATCACTTTCACACTGCTCTGGAATGTCCCCCTGATCTGGAGAAGAAATTTGAACAATGGCTTCATTATTTTGTAATTACAATAGTGGAGCACAGCAATGGACACAAAGTGTGGGAATGGCTGAATTAGAACACATAAATACCAGTACTAATTGAGCATTTTCCCTTCACCTTGACCGTTTCCCTGAGGATTAAGAATTATCATAGGCTGTACTTGCTTCTTTAATTACAGAATTGTTAGTTTTGAAACTAGCTATTGGAACACATCTGTTTGCAAAGCCAAAACAGGTTCATGAATAAATATACAACAGAAAACCAAAATGTTTTTCATTTCTTTACATAATCAAGATACAGGTCACAGAAAAATTACATGTCCAAGCTTAGCTTACCCTTTCTATGCACGTAAAACAACCTCTAATGCTTCGATCACATACTATTTCTTTATTAGGATCCTTGCCTTCTTCAGTGCATAGGATGGATGCTGCTAACTTGGATAGTCTACATTATATTTTCTTCTCCCTGCGCTGAATTTACAAACACACAACTACTATACTTCCTCTGTGATCACTGCTATGACACGCAACTGCTTCTATTATCTCAGTTTTATGGGAGAACACAAAAAGAGATAAAAGGTCACATGTAGCCATTATCTCTAGGTAGCCAACCTGAAATACACAGGACCATTTTTCTAAGCATTTAGTGTAAGATAGTGCAGATACCCTATACACCTCCTTAAGTTTTGGGTAAACATTTAGAAAATATCAATTTCCCAGCCTTCAAATATTATCAAGGTTTCAAGCATTTTTCTTTTCCATGTTATAATAAAACTGAAATATTTTGCATGAAGAAAAACAAGACACCCAAACCAATCAGCCTCTCTCTCAGAATGGTCTGGATCTCTTTAAATTAAAATTCTTTTAAAGGAAGTATAGATGAAAGCACAACAGAAAATTTCTTTAAAACTGTCAGTCTAGCAAAGTTATGAGAATGTTTTCAGTTTCTTACAAAAGCAACAGGAATTCCTAGCAGCTTCGCCTAGGAAAGTAAATTCGATATACGTCTTATATGTAAGACCAAAATAATAATGGGTTATCACACTCAAAAGAAAATCTATTCTGTTTTTTTGCTCTCTCTTTAACTGTAGGTTTAAATTATAACCTTATCAACAACAACATAATTTACATATGAGGCATCAGTATGTTTCAGGGTATGTAATATTTAAATAATCAAAAAAATCCTTTCACAAATAGGTTCCTGTTAAGTATTCTATCTAACTTCCAAAGGTCTGCTAACTACACAAACAAACCAACCAACCAACCCAAACCCAAACCAATATAGTACAAAACATCTTTACATTAACCCTTCTGCAAAGGAAAAAAAAGTAATACTCTGTACACCTTCACTCCTTTAGGTAAGGGTAGACAGCAAAAGATGCATTATCTCCTTAACACGAGCACATCAATTAAAAGCTATTACTGCCAACAGAAATTCCAATCTTTTCTTGCCAAAGCTCACTCACAGTTGGATTAAAATGCTTCCACATTTTCTGGTATCTCCTTCACTCCATTGGTTTTTTTCTACTCTTATCAACTTCTTCCTTCATTATATCTTATTCTACATTTACTTTTTAGATTTTACATTTTTATTCCCTCTCCAATTCATCCTGGGTTACCTTCTCCCATTGTTAGCCATTCTGATTTCATTCTACATACTGAGATTATCTTTTGATGCAGTCTGACCCAACTGAATTACTGTTGATTGAGAAATCATCAGCATATGCAAACCCTTAAAGTACTACCACATGTCTGATACAGTGGTTAACTTACTTGGACACAGCATCTACTCAGGCCTAATTGCCAAGAAAATGCCAGTCTATTCTTAAATGTGATAAAATAAATGTGAAATATGTAATGTATTCCTAAAAGTCTCTAATACGAAATTAAACAAATAAATCTAAATCTAATTAAAATATAAGTAAAAACCATTAGTAGCTACAGGCTCAGTTCACACTCAAATAATGCATTTAAAGCTTATAAAAAGAAAACTAAATGAGGTAAATTAAAAACCAACAAATGTACTGAGTAAAACTTCACAGAGATGCATAGATGAGTCATCAGCTTCTGCTAGTTATCACTAAACACTATCAGCACATTTGCTGTTTAAACAAACTATCTTTTTTGGTTGGTTGGTTGGTTTTTAAAATACTGAAAGCCATATTCTCACAGGTTCAGGAGAGTGAGCAAGGGCATCACTCCATCTTCCATATGAGGTAACCACAACCAAAAGAACAAGCCATTCTTAGACCTAGGAAAAGACTCACACCAATTACGGGTATTTTCTTTTAAATCAGTGATTCTAACTCTCCCAAACAATAATTATAATCTCTTCACCAACTATGAATTTAATTGTACCACCCCATGACATATCTCCCCCAGTCTCAAGACTTTACAGACCTAACAAAATTTGGAAACGGAAAAGGTGTTTAGCTTGCTGTTCACATCTTTCTCATTGACAATTTCACTTGCTTTAAACCCCCAGTTTCATGGGAGATATGGCTGCTCAGGTCCAACATTAAGATGTCACTCAAATGCTGAAAAACTAGGAAATAAAGCCAGTAACTGTGCTTCTATTTCTCTCTCCATATACAAATGGCTATGAAGTGCATTAACTTTTATTATCCTCCTCTTTCTACAGTACCTTAGTTAAACTAAAATTTTTTGAAAACTGACCCTGCAGGCTTGACTGCAGCATATAGAGGGAAACGCTTTATAGCACACAATACAAAACACCACGTAACGACAAAGTTCTTCCTCCAATCAACAGAGAACAGAAATGTAAGTAAACAAAATGCTGACCTCAGAGAAAAAAAACAATTACAATAAAATTCATGTTTCAGTAACTGAACCATATGTTCCAAAACTACTCAGAGATGCTGATTAATGACATAATTGCAAGTGTTCTTCACACATTTACACACACTTCTAAAGTAACTTCTAATTCATATTATTGAAGCCTCAGTTATTGAAGGAAAAATCAACAAGAGTATATGTAATGGCTATAGAAACGTATCTTCAGAATTAACATCATCTAGTAATACTGCTCTGATATTGGCCCATGATGAACACTCCTTGGAGATTTACTTTACGCAGCAAATACAATAGAGCCTCAAGTTAGTTCATATACTAGTACACTTTGCTGTTTAAAAAAAAATAATCCTACACAATTTTAAAACATTCTGAAACAACTGTCAGACCTACATGCATTAATCACAAGGTTACGCAAGATTTCTGAACAAAAAGTATGTTCCCAAATTTCAGAGCCAACTTGATTTCAGTCTCTACTTACTACTACAAACCCTTCTCCTCTAATGATGCAGATATGAAGAAAATTAATCCCCTATCATCTGAGACAGTTTGTTTTTATTTCCAACAACAGTCAGAATTTTTTCTCTCCAGCTACAGTGTTAAACTGTGAAGACAATTGTCTTACAACTGTTAAGCCATAAGGTGTTAAACAAACTGTCTAAAATCCACTAAAACTTACATTCAAGAGAAGAAATGCATTCTTCAAGGTCCTCATACATTAGTTTCTCTGGTTTGGGGATATCACTGAAATCTTGTTTATCTGTTCTTTCGTTATGAAGTCTGAAAGAAGAAGGAAGAACATAATTTAACAAATAGAAATGCTAAACTTTTAAGCAAATAGCTGAGATTTAAATACAAGGATTACTCACATGCTTAGCAACAGACTAAACCAAACGTAAAAACCATGCAACCAAAATGTTGTAACTTTCTGACTCAAAAGTTAAGGTATTTAAATACAGTTCTCTAACTTTTACCAAAAGTCAGCTCCATCTCTCTGATAGTCATCTCCCTGCAGCCTTTCCCCAAGGCCTATATATGACATAAAGGCATTACATTAAAACAAGATACACTCTCAAAAGGCATAGAAAGGAGTAAGAAAAAGAAAAAAAGGAGAAATACAATGAAATGTGACACTTAGTCAACTAAAATTAAGAAATTTGCCTTTTTAGGCTCTGTGTTAGTCTAATTCACACTGTGATGTCATCTTAACAGATGTGTTTGAGGTGTATTAGATGTCTGGCAAAACATACATGCAGGGGTGAAAATCTGGGTTCTATGAAAAATGAGTTTACTGCCCTTGTTTATCTCATCAGAAAGATAATGTGAAAGAACAATATCTCCCACATGACCCAGCTACTAAACTCTGACCAGAACCAGAACAGCAAAAGGAGTGCAGGTCACTAATGAAATTCAGCAGCAGCACTTTATAAAGGGGCTTACTTCACACCAGCTCGTGCTCTTCACCATGGCATAAATGTGTTTGTGCTTACAATTTCTAAGGAATTCAGGTCTTCTGTGGGGCAAAAGTGGAGAACAAACAACACATACCCCCACAATGAGACATGTTCAATAAAAAAATGTCAGTCTGGGGAACAAATGAATAAATCTGCATTGTCAGAACGGATAATTCAGTAACGTCAGTGGGGAAAAATACCCTGTAAATTAAATATGACAGAGCAAATGGAACTTCAAGTTTTTGGAAGTCTACTTCATGTTTTTAGTCCTTCCTTCACAGAAATGGTTAAGTGTTAAATAATTGTCAAGGATGCAAGGTTCAAGGACATGCATGCCACTTTCTTCAATAACAGTCCTGCAACACTGCTAGAAAGAGTCAATACACTGCCTCAGATTCAGCAAACTGAAGAGGTCTGCCTCATGAAGACAAATAAACACATGTATTTCCAAAGAGTTTTCAAAATTCATTCCATCATACAAAGTTGGCAACCAAACCCCAGACTGTACCTAATGTCAATATTCCATAAAACAGTACTGGTGTGCCAATCAACACCAAATGATTAAATTGCATGAGTTATGCTTAGAATTACCACTAAAGCTTAAACAAAAAACAACCACCATCATCTAAACTATTTTGTTAATGTCCGAAATTACTTTTTTAGCCCAAAACTGGTAACACCCCTCACAATTGGTTTCTTCAGCCCTAAACAAAAAAAGGAATGGTTTAGATAATAATCTGCCTCATAATTCTAGTCTTCCTGTCTATGTTTATTGGCTTCCTTCATACCACTCATATCTTCAAACATAAATAAACAAAGAGCTCCTGTAGTCACAGAAGCAATTGTTCTTCCCCACTGACAGAGGTCTAACTTGTAATGGCTTGCTGGTGTTACAGCATCATATTTTCTTTTCTTTTCCTTTTAAAGAAGTTCCCATTGCCACTTAAAATCTACAGGTCATAAACTAATCCCACAATACACATCAATGATCTGGCATTTGCCTAATAATGAGAGTAAATAACTGGAAAAGCCCACACATGCATTTCTGAAATATTTTATGTAACAGAAAACAGTCCAAGGCACAAGAAATTAAAAAAAAAATACTCATCAAAAGAATGTTTTCCCTTTAAGAAAGTCTTGGGAAAGCAGCAAGTTCAAGAAAATTATTGGGACCTCATACTCTTGCTTTGTCACAAGGAACCCAAGAAAGCAATTACAAGCCAGAGCTGCCTGCCCAGACCCTGGCCTGTTCTCTGCAACACAACTTGTTTATACTGTTCACTCTTCAGGCAGCATGGACTCTACAACATCCTTCAAAGAAGTACGGTCCCTCGCAGTATTAGAGCATTTTTCCATATCACCTTAACATGCAGGTTAACATTCAACCTTCACTTTGTAAGGTCTGTCACAGGATTACAGGAAATCTGAGAAATACTGTAGGAAATGTGAATGAGCAGGGAAAGAAGAGACAGCCACTTAAAGGAACTAACCTCATGGTCCCTAGGAATCCCAACAGCTTCTTTTCAAGGCCAAGAACATAAAGGCTCTCCCCAAATTCTAACCACAAAAAAGACCCTCTCTAGATTAAATGTACATTGAGGATTTGATAACAACAAAATAAAAAAAGCCTATGAATGCCTGCTAGACCTGCCCCAGGACAAGCTGTCCTTCTTCAGCCATCAAATCTGGAATTATGGCTAACAGTTTAAGGCCAACTCAAGTGTCTCTTTTTAGGAAAGAAACATTAAAAATTAAATACTTAAGCTTTTTCTGAAGACACCTATTCAGGATTCTCAGTTTTAGAGAGTAGAAGCACCAGCGACCATTAAGAACAGAAGAATTTCATACATGGAAATAGGAAATACCGAGAGGAAAGAGAAGTCATTTTTATGCAGCTTAATTTTGCCAAGTTATTAATTTACTTAAAAGAGATCTTAAAAAAAAACAAGGGAAAAGAGAAAAAGTTCTGCTACCCAACCCATTCCCACATGTAAAGGAGACTGGAGATTCCTATTCTGAAAACAGTTACAGGCACATGAACAAGCTCTTCAGAGAAGAAGAAAAAAGTTAGCGTTACAGCTTGTTAATGAATGAAGTGAGAATGTACAACTGCCTTGATTTAAATACTTAAACAGGCACCAGAAACTACTGAGCTTCAATCAGCAAAAGCTCATCAGTCAGATCACAGATGTGAAAAATAGACACAATAAAAGAGACATAGCTTTGGTCAAGGAATTAGTGGCCTTTTTTTTACTAGGGGTTTTTGTGTGCATTAAATATAACCTCAACAGCTTTTGAACATCAAGCATATGCAAATGGCCTGTTCTAATATGGGATAGATGAGAGATTATCACTACTTCGGACAGGAATTTGTGATGAGCTTGTAGTTTTACCTTTTTCTTGAAAAATAATTTCAAGTCATTGAGAAAAGAAGTTTACTCCTCTAAAGACCCAATTTTGTCTTCTGAAATGAAGTTTGTTCTCAAATCAGTCTACAATGTCAGCATTCCTCACATGTTTAAAAAATAAGATTTTTTTCATAGATATTATACATAGGCATGCAAGTCAGTGGTTCCTAAAAGTAAATCTGAGTTAAACAGCAGATTTTACATTTTTAGGAAACTTTTAGAAAACATGTTTTCTGAAATCAGTGATTAACAGAATATTTATTTATTAATAATGAATCTTTCATTCAGCTGTCTGGAAGTGGTCTGCTGTGTAAGGAAATACAATGAAAAATAAGGTCTACACTGATACAATAGATTTCAAGTGCTGCAGAACTTGCAGCTCTCTTGAAATACAAGGATCACACCACACCTTGCTCTCAAAAGTTTGTCAGAACTCCGACACATGAAAAATAGAAAACCAAAGAAGGACAAAAGCAGAAGTTTATTGTTAAATCTAGAGCTATATCTACAGAGATATCTACAGTAGTCTGAAAACCAGCAAAGTAAATCAGCCTGACCTGAGCCCAGGAACATCTAAACTTTGTATGACTTGTATTTGTCAGGTGTGCCTTACTGGTGACAGTGCACACCAAATGAACCACCTTCTATCTTTGAAGCCACACGTGGTAACAAAGCCATACTTACATTTGTTAAGTAGCACAAACAAAGTGCCGAGAAGCACAGTTCTAAACACTAATTAATATCCTTGAACAGCAGAATTTGAGCTAAGTTTCAGTGATGGGTATTTATCAGTTTGCTACATCTGCATTAAAGCGACATGCGCTTAGGATGCCTCACATTCTCACTCTCTAGGCTTTTTAGTCCATTGCCTAGCACTTTTTCCATGGCAGTGGATTTTTTAGGCTCTGGAGCTAGTGCTGCCATTACCATTTCTCCCCAACAGAGGGAATCTTTGGAATAACCTTTCATCCTTGCTCAACTACAACAGTGAAATTACTTTACAGAACACTGTAAATCAAGTTTTACTTTGTCATAGGACAAGACTTTTTTTTTAAATGTTGCATTCATCTGAAGTTTCCAATGGACTTGAAGTTTAAGTATTTCACTGCACGTAACTTTGCACTGTAGGGAAGCACAAATTTAACAGAGGTGAAAATGTCAAATCATATTTGCCAAAGGTTTTTGGATTTGGGAGAAGGTGGAGTGTTTGGTTTTTTTATAGCTAAGTTCCTCTTTCGGCATGATATTCAAGAATGGAAATCCTTATCCATCTTTAGAAAAGTTCTCACAAAAGGAATGGCTTACTTGAATCGTAAAAGCAGCTATTGCCATGAACAGTTAGATGTTTCTTTAAAAAGCAGGTTAAAAATATTGCTTTGTAAACAATGTTACCTGATTTTCTGGCCACGACTGGATGGTGAGGAAGAAACAGACTCAGAAGATGAAAGTAGACGTGGCTTTGAAATAGGAGAAAGCACCTGGTCAACACTCTGCTGTGAAGAGGCAAGGTATGAGCCGCTGATGTCTGCAGAATAAAAATCCCACAATTTGTATTAGTCAGTTATCTGTCCTACGATTTCTCGGACAAGGCTGGTTTTTACAACACATGCATAATTGGACTGTGCAGGCAGCACCACCACTATAGGTCAACTAATATCCAGATCTTAACATGAACTTTCTTGTACTGGTTCTTTCTTTCTTTTTTCTTTTACTTCTCGTGTATGGGAATTCTCCTCTACAGGCCTTCACCATCATAAACTTACTCCTCACAAAGCCTATGATTATGATCACCTTGTAATACATCCATGTTCCACACAAACAGCAGCCCCTCTGCCAAACACCAAATAATTTCTCCCATGTTGGGCATTAGAGGAAACATTTATGGACCTGGATTTCAAGCTAGGGATGTGCTTAGTAGCCAGCAAAAGATAATGCTTGAGGTCTCTCAAAGGTCATTCTTCATTAGGAAATTTAACCTGGAGGTTTCAATTTCTACGGATTTGTGAAAATGCGTGATGAAGCAAAGAAGAAAATCTTTTAAGATTTTATCCTCTTACCAATAGCTGTAAAGTTATCAGGGAAGGAAACAGACAGTATGACTAGAGAAGTCTTGAGTTTCCTAAGAAACCAAGGTAAAAACCAAAACCCCTGCATTAAAAAGGCTTTTAATCAAACTTGCAAAGCCCAGCACTTTGGTTAAATTTTGCTTTGCAATCTTAATTTTCCCTTCCTGTGCAGCGGCACAGGTCTTTCATTATTAGACTATGAATTATTATTTTTTCCACAAGACATGGTATTCACTCAGTAAGCAGGCACTGCTGTTTTTCTTCTCTTTACTGACCAAATAACTTTTACTGTAGTCAGTGCTAATCTGGCTCAAAAGATAAGACGAAAAGCCACTATTAACACTCCTATACCTGAAGTTCTTTCAGGTGGTCACATAGAAGTGCACCCTGTTCATGGCACACGTCACACTGCAGAAGTAAGGATGCTTCAGACTAGGGGTTGCCCATGGATTTTTATCTCCAGACAGCCCTTATGCCCATCCAACAGAGGTGAACATCCTCTAAGGAAGCTGAGCGCTAACAGAACAGGACCCAGCAGTTACGTCATACTCTTGTATCAGCAGTACCTGTTCGTGATGTGAACCCTCAGCACACCCACATCCAATCTTTTCATAATGTAACCTGTCAAATTTTCACATGCAGAGCAAATGGACGAGAACAGCATGTAGTACTTAATGCATGCACCCCCTCAGCATAACACATACTGCACGTCAGGACACAGGTGGCACACCAGCCAGCTCATATGATAATTTACTACAGCCTACTACTATTTAGAAATCATCTAGGATGGAACTTAATGATTTTCTACTAAAAGACAAATAGCTGAGGTCTTTGGCTCACAGTATCCTGTCTGTGACTGTTTCTTGATCCATATTACTGGCCCGATGTTATGGGTTTGTGGCAGGGTTTTTTGGTAACGGGGTAGGGTCCACAGGGCCGGCTCCTGTGAGAAGCTGCTGGAAGCTCCCCCGGCTCCAAGCCGGACCCGCCTCTGGCCCAGGCCGAGCCCCTCAGGGACAGTGGAAACACGGGTGGGAGAGCAGATTTAAGAGGGGAAACCTGCAGGGAGTGGGGGATTGGAACGGGAGAGGAACCCCTCTGTGGGTACCGAGGTCAGGGAGGAAGGCGGACGGCGCTA